ATCTCACCAAAAGACGTCGGCGGTGTATGGCGGCCGTTCGGATTTTCCTAACTTATTCCTGTTGGCGCATTCCACGAGACATCCTCCTTCGTGTCGGGCGCAAACGGGATGGTATTTCGCTTGTCGTTTTATGAGCATCAGCAGAATTGTAACTCATTCTTGCAAAAGTGTCAAGTCAAGAAGCTTTACCGGCTCAGCCCCTTAGCATTGATATGATCATTGTGGAGATAGAATGGTTTTTTTAATTCTCTGTGTACGTCTGTGTGATTTTGTAATTTTGTAATTGTGTGATTGTGTGTGTGTGTGTATGTGTGTGTGTGTAAGAAACGCCGGGCATGAATATGAGAAATGAGAAAAAAGGCTTGAATGCTTAATGAGTCAAGGAAGAAAGCACAACTGAGATTACGTAAGTGCGCAAGTAACTTTGGTTGAATTGAGGAAATGTAAGCCTGTATGCGTAAAAGTAAGGCTACGAAAGCAACAATCATGACCAATTGGTTTTGGGTCATAAAGGCTTAAGGGTGGACGGCAAAGCAAGGTTGGGTTTGTGTAATCTCGAAATTGTGTTTCGGTTGATCGGCTTTAATGTCCTTTTGAACGAGAACGGATTTGATTAGAAATCTCGAGCATAAGTTGCCAACTTTTTCCCACCATTCTTCACACCATTCTTCCATAACCCATCAATTTGCATGACCTCTCTCATTTTCTTTTCTACAACAGACAAAGCATAATCAGCAAACCTAAGCGTTGGAGACCATTTCATCTCGTGTCCAGTCTCTGTCCGGCATTTTCGTGTTCCTCCAATCCTCGTCGAATAAGCCGGCATGTCTCACCAACACACAACACACCAACAGACAATCTTTTCCAATTTTCGTATTAGAGTAGAGTTTCGAGACTACCAGCTAAAAACAAAAAACCATATTCCAATAACTCAAAACTTCCACTTTTCTCAATATTATGTTTAAAAATATAGAAACTACCACCCAAACAAATATAAATACACCCAGTACAACAACATAAATTGTCAAAATATTTTATATGTGTGAACCACTAAAAGAATATACTCCAATTTAAACACTTTATTAACCACAGGTTCCCCTGTGGTTACCATGTTACGACTTGCTTCAACAAATATCGAAGATGACGGGCGATGTGTGACCCAACTACCAGTCCTTCATCAACTTAAACGAAATTGGGTGAATACATCTCATACTACTGATTTACTGGCAGTCACAAAAACAAAACATAATTCGAAAAATAAAATATTGCAGATATACGTTTGCTTCATCGGCACTCGCACCAAAAAGAATATGATATGGCAAAAAGGAATGGCGTTCCTTGAAATTCACTTATGCTCTGTGAATTAAGGGTACTCGTGGTAGTGTAGCCGAGTGGTTTGCGTGTCAAGCTACCGTCCTGCACTGTCGCGGTTCGACTCCCGCTGAGGGTGTTGATAAGGCACAAGCGAGGACTGCTTTCATCCGCTGCTTTCTCATCAGTTGGCATCGCCTCTCAGAAAGGAGGCATGATGGTACAATTCTGGCGTGAGAAGACATCTCAGTTTGTCTATCTTTGACTGTGTTTCGTCTATAAGCAGATTTTCAAGACTTCCAGTACATCATTTACATGTTGAAGTGTATTCATCATCTTTCGTCTGAGGCACACTCGAGGTCGAAACTGTAGTTCAGTCAATTCTGGATGAAAATACCATCTGAGAAGGCAAGGCTATGTGAAATAGAATGGAAAATTGTGGGAAAATTCTGCTACCAGTCCTTCATCAGCATAAACGAAATGGTGTGAATTCAATTGCTTACTTTGCATAAACTGTCTCTGCAAGAAAATGAGCTTGACAAGAAATAGGCTGAAACGCAGAGGTTTGCTGAGCATGAAATGCCGACTTGAAAACGCAGGAAAGAAGAGGCTATTGAGATGAATAGATTATGGAAAACCTTGAATGTTGAGTACAAAAAAAAGAATGAACGAGATTGTCAGCTCATTGACGCTTCTAACTTAATTCATTCTCGTT